ATGTCAATCTGTACAGCCAAAGTCTGTTAATTCTAGAAAAACTAGTACACAAAAAATTCCATGAGATTAAAGCAACTTCAATCATGACTTTTTCCAACACTACACATAAAATCCCCTTTTTTTTTCTTCATTTAAACAACAATAATGCAATACTTATCAAAACAAAAGTAAAGTCCAGTCGAATTTCAAAGTAACTACACATGTGTTGCACACCTAAAAACAATGAGTTCTGTTTCCGGGGAGAGATCGATGGAAGGAAAGAAGAAAAAAATATGTATGTCATTTGTCTGTGGCTTTAATTACCATCAAGATAAGGGTTGGTGACGTCACAGCGTGTGCACTGCTCGCGCAGGCCCAAATCGTATATATATATATATATATATATATATATATATAAATGTATGTTATTACCAAAGTGGTGATATCCGGGGAAATGGAAGAATAGGTTTATGTATGGAGCTAAAAAAAAAATCCTTTTGTATTTTTAGGCTACATGGGCGTCTGATGTGGATAAGAAGCAGGTGCAGATTTGCTATGTGAGCATTCTGACAAACGCCCGGTGGGCCAGCACTCAATGGACCTGTGGGCCCGCATTCGAATGAGCGAAGTTGAATATCCAAAAACGACTTTACAATATTCCCTAATATGTTGATAGCTGTTAATTTAGACGTGATTTGGTCACGATCATCAAACGATTACTTTCTTGGTGGTAGAAAGAACTTTTCATGTTGCTCCCTTTTCTAGTGTTATGCTTTGTTCTTTTGGTTATCTACTATATATTTGCAAGTTAGCACTGACTCATTGATCAAGAGATCTCTTACACAAGTTTCTTTTACCTCCTATGTGCTTGCTAAAACCGGTTTTGACAGATTCGCAACCTGACCACCGCTTTGCACGGAAAATCGCAATCTTGATCAAACCTTTGTATTTTGTTTTCGCTATTTCTCCAAAAAGGCCGCAGTCTTTATATAAAGCATTTAAAAAGTATTACTCTAATTCCGTTTTTTAAAGCTTTTTTTTTGTTTCTTTTTCCCTACGCCAACTTATTTTTAATATGCCTTACGTCATTTACACTTCCTTTTACGCGCGGTCTAAATAAAAAAAAAAACGTAATAATAGCCTAGCATTAAATAAGGTAGATCTAAAGACTTTTTCTTTTTTCCACAGAAAGAGAAAATTAGGGAGCAAGGAATGGTAGGCCTACTGTGAAACACTGTAAAAAGAAAAATCCTAATAGCAGTAAGAAATAAATCTAGAACTAATGTCATTTCGCTACATTTAAAAGGAGTGAGATAAACGATTAGGCCTACAGTTCATAAAATTTCTTTTTATTTCGAGAACAAAATACCAAAATAAATGTAGAAATGGGAATGTGGCATTTAATTGGGGCCTTCGGAAAATACATTTTTTGCTCTAGGTCTGAAACTGATGGTATCTAATATCGTAAATTGATTGCATTAAGATTGAAAAAAAAAAAGTAAAACTAACCCAAAAAAAAGGGGGGGGGGGGGGGAGTCACGGTCTAAATACAAAATAGATTGAATTCAATTGAGAAGCGGAAGAAAAGTCATAGATGGTTTGTTTTTGGCTTGGTGGGGGGGGGGGGGGGGGACAAATTTATTTTCTAACAAAAAATCTTAATTTTCACTTATTATCTTTATCCCTACGTCCCGCGCAATCCGTTTCGCATAGGTTCCGCAATCTGTAGGACCTAGTAGTTCCATTGTAAGTTAAAATAAAGTTGTGTGACAATAAAAATAACATATAGCTTCCAACGTAGCAAAGCAACAGGCAATGAACAACTCAATCACTTAAAAATAAAATATGATAGTGTCGACGTCACTTATAAAGGGGAAATCAGCATTGTCCTAATATCTAGGCAACGCGTTATTTTACAAACTGCCAATTAAGAATGCACAAAATTATGTTTTAACATCTAAAACATCATAACGTAGCATTTCTAAAACATATACAGCTATCATTAATTGATTTAAAAATATAGAATTAGATCTAATCTAATAATTAATTAAGGAGAATAAAATTATTGATAGTAAAAATAAACTTTACAATGTATTTTAATAATTTCTTTTAACCTCTTGTAGGCATGATTTGTTTACATTAATATCTGGCAAGTTTCGTTTTCAAAATAATAACACGTGCAGTGTAAATGTCTTTAGTGTAAACGTTAGTCTTTTGTGTCGTAGATCAGATCTAGAATATAGATTATCCAGGACCAGATAATCTGGCTTAGCTCTAGTTCTAACTTCTAGGTAGAGGAAATTACCTAACTTTAATTATAGATCTATTAAACTTATAAGCAAAAAAAGAAATAGATCTACTCGTAGTAAATAAAAATGATTCCAGAGTCAGAGTATAGACGTATACTAGTAGTATACATACTATTTTTACATACTGTAACATACTATATAGTAACTATACTCATCCCCTTGGTGACGGTATAGAGTCTAGTTAGTTAGTTAGTAGTATACTATAGAATAGATAGATCTAGATTTTGATTAATCATTAATTAATCTAGAAAAATCCTAGATCTACTATAAAAACTTTATCAGTTTATAATTAACTTACGTCTTATAAGTGTACCGGTATAAGTGTATATCAAATTGAGTAACCTAGATCTAAGATTAATCATTTACAAAAAATAATCTAGATATAGATAGATCTATATGTAGTATTTAATATTTTAGACACTCTACTTGATCTCGACTCGAGTCTAGATTACAGACTAGATCTAGATTATTCTAGGAATAATCTATATATTAATATAGAGTCTATTATAGATTATAAAATAGATATCTTAACTAGTAGAATGTGAGAATAAAATTTTAATGAAATTAAATTTAAATAATGAATCATTTTGTGTTAGGTTAGTTAGTTTATCTTTAGTGACATTAGAAGAAAATCTAAACTAGATATTATTATTATACAATCAAATTAAATTATAATGAATCATTTGGTATTAGTGTTTATCGGTTTATCACGTCTCGATTTAGTTTACAATCAATAGACATCTTGATTTTTTTTTAAAAAAATGCTTTTAAAATTCTCCAGCTGATGTCAATTAGCTAACAATCTGACAGAGTGTATCCTGGATCTAGAATCTAAAAGTAACATTCATTTTTCACTTTGGGGAAATGAATATTCCAGACATTTTGTACAGTTGCCAACAAATCATTGATGAATTTGAATAGCTGTGGATCAACGTCTTTCCAACTTCTGTGTGTATTCATATTTATATCTATATCTTAGATTAAAGCCTACTAGAAGACAATGAAACTATCTGGTTGTAGATCTAAATCAACCGAAACAACCCAAGAAGAGATTAGTGTTGCAGGGCATTTGAGCTCAGATGTTTCCCAAGAAATTGGAAGTGAAAAAGAAAATGCCAGTTTCTGTAAACCCTTCTTCAAATGTCCATTGTGTGGATACACAGGTAAACACGAATGCTGGTTGAAACGCCACATGAGAATCCATTCTGGCGAAAAGCCTTTTAAATGTGATCTATGCAGTTATGCTACCACTCAACTGGGTTTTCTGAACAGACACAAGAAAAATCACTCCAACAACAAACCATATGAGTGTTGTCATTGTAATTACAGAGCCAAACAACTTTCAGACCTGACGTATCATATAAGGATACACACAGGGGAGCGTCCTTACACCTGCTCATTTTGTGATTACACTTCAAGGACTAGTGGGCTAATGAGGAAGCACACCAAAATTCACCTGAATGATAGAAACTTTGCTTGTGATATGTGCGACTTTAGAACAGTGACAGGATATTTGCTGAAATATCATTACAGGAAAGTTCATATGGATGAAAAAAGCTTTAAGTGTGACCTATGCAGTAAAATGTTTAAATATAAATTGTCATTTAACAGACACATGAAAAAACAACATTAAGTCCATGCAATCCTGTTAGAGACTTGTTAATCAGAATTAGAAAACTCAAAAACCTTTACCAGTCAGCTACTGCCAAAATAAAAATACCAGTATCAAAATTCTTGTGATATGGTAGTAGTCATTGGTGCCTTAGTCTTGATTTATCATAGCAATTTTATTTATTTATTTATTTGGAATTTTAATTTAGTCAACAATTTTTTGTTCAATACTTTCTTTGCACTTTTGCAATACAAACTTCTTTATTTTGCAGAATGACTGATTAACACTATTTTCTCTTTCAAATGAAAACATTTTTTTTTTCTTTGTATATAATTTGTAAAAAAAAAAAAAAAGTAAAGTTTCCCTTTCAGACCTTGTGGTCTATAAGGCAGATGATGTAAAGGTCTTCTGATTCTGTGGCCTACGGTTTATGAGGGTGTCATGTGGCCAGCACAACGACCAACCGTCTTTACTTTTCCCCAACTAATGTCAGGTACCCATTAGAGCTGGGTGGACTTGGAGGCCCCAATAGATCCCGAAATAAAAAATCCCAGTTTTCACCAGGATTCAAACCAGGGACCCCCCGGTTCAGAAGCCGAGCACAGCACCTTCATATAATTTGTAGTGATGCGAAATTTCTCCACCCTGAACAGAATCCTATTAAAATATCAATACTAATGACAGCTCTAAACTGAAAGTATTTAAATATACTGTTGAAAGTGTATAAGCAATAAAATATGTTTCATACTACTAATACTGATACCGTACTTGCGTTCTAGTCACTGTTATTCTATACATTAATGGTGATAAAAATTAATGCATCATTAGTGTTCAATGTGTGTACAAAGTGTTAATTCAAATGGCTCATATGTGTGGTATTCTGCCTTGTGTGTGTGCTTTTGATATTTGAAGCAAAGTAAAAGCTCATGAACAAAAATAAGTAATTATATATACATGTCTTAGTCTTCTAATCATCATCATTGGAAAGAATATAAAAGAATAGCATAAAAACCAGAATAAAAAGTGCACCTGGATTTATTTATTATTTAAAAAAAAAAAGGACAATGTTATTTTCATTCTGAAAACAAATGCAGTGGATTTAATAAAAAAAAAAAAAAAAGAGGATGCAGTTTATTTTCAATGATATTTTCCCCCTACTCTATTAAACATCATGAAAATATGGAAAACCTGCCATTCATGAAAATAAAATTACAATCACCAATTTCTGAAAATTCATGCAAACTGGACAAGCAGACGCAGTGTTTGTTTGTTTTTCTGCTAGAGCATTTCAATGTGAACTAATTCATTCACTTTGATCAATTTCCTTCCGTATTAAAAAAACAATTCAAAGAAAAGGAAGGAACTATGCTCTATTAACCCATTCTAACATGATAAATAAATACATGGAACTAAAAAGAAATTAGTTAATTTTACAATCAAAATGCATCATTGGCGGCTGAGACATCTTATTTTTAAAAACTTCAATTAAAAAAAAAACATGAACTTTCCACGAAGACAATTCTTCTGCATTAGTTTTACATATTGCATCTTTACCAGGAAATCTCACTTTCCTCAATGTAAAAAAAAAATAATAAAATCATAAACATGACATGAAATGGGAATCTTCTTTGTATAAAGCAGAAGTTTGTCCACTTTCACAGCTTGCCGATGAGACAAAAATGTCACATGAATTAAACCATTTACAAAGTACGAAACATTTTGTTTAATGTAAAAAACAACAACACTGAATCCACACAGCAAAATGTAAATGAAAACATGTAGCAATGTTGTACATTCAAGAGCAAAATTTTGTATCCACATGGCTGATCTTTAAAGTATCTGGCCAGAGGTTCACGATTCCCAATGCCAGCACTAGTATACATTAAATAAAAGTTCACTTTCACCCTGATACGAAACACACAATGCTTAATATTTACAGTATATAGCACTTTTTTTTTGGTCATACGCCATGCACTATATTAAAAAAAAAAAAGAGGAGGGAGTGGGTATAAATAAAGGAAAGGTCAGCACACATGCTGTTTCAACTAGAGGCATAACAAGCTTTCACTCAGAGGCATCAATGAAGACAGCACAGAGTATAAAAGTAATTTATTTTTTTTTATAAAAATATTTTGTTATTGATTTTTTTTTTAGTAGTTGTCTGTGAAAAAAAGCATAATGCATGATTTTAGTTCATATTCAAACCACTCAGATTGGTACTTATGCTGCACATTTAAATATATTACTGTACTGGAGAGTGCAAGCATCTTTGCAACAGAAGTGTACTTTTTAAGTAGTTACAGGTGTCAGTGGGGAAATATTGAAATTTCCCTCTGTGCCCTATTAAGGGTTTCATTTCTTTTTCTTTTTGGACTAGTATACTGTCACACTACATATAAATTTAAAATGTTTTAAACAGTGAACTATTTCAGTGTTTTATGCATTCCTTAACCTTAATTTTTAAATAAATATATTGATAATATGCTTAAAATATAGTTGTACTGATTGGAAAAGATGAATGCAACCCTAGTTATATCCAATCACCTTTTAATGTTACAATAATTGTCTCAAAATATTAGCAGCTTAACAATTATCTATAATTAACCTTGTGTTCTCCAGTAAAATATATATATATACATGCACAGTTAAATGACGCAGGAAAAAAGAAACTGCATGAAAATCAAGCAAGATTTATTAGTTGGGAATCAATTTTCTACAAAATGTGTTCACCACACTTTGACATACATTTTCAGCAATGCTGAACAGAGTAAGCACAGCACAACAGGGAGGAGAAATGGGCATAGTCTTTATGTACAGGGCTTTTTGTGAGAGTAAACAGACATGGCTTAAGTACAGCTGGCTTGAACTTGTTTCAAGGCTGGCCAAAAAGAGTGCCTCAAAGGTTCTTGGAGTGTGATCATTTCAATCTAATATGTCAGCAAAACAAAATTGCCTTTAATGTTTATTGGGAGGCTGAATGAAATCATGCTGGAAAATCAGATTAAGTTAATGGTCTACTAAATATTACAGTACAATATTACAGCCTGTGGTACTGAAAGAACTTTTTTATTCCTTATGTAAATGAATGAATTACAGCATACTTTTTAGATAGGCCTATAGGAGATTAACTGTAAGTGCTTTTTAAAAATAATGCTTAAACCACAACATTGGAGAGTGGTGTTGATACAAAAAAAAACCTCTTTGCATATCCAAAATGTTCAATATTATATAAGGACAGAACAGAAAGGTTACCAAATACTAGCCAGGAAAATCAGTGACTTATCAGAAATTAAGTCATTGGTTAATATGCATGATGCATAGGAAGTAATCTTCTTTTTTGAAGTAGTGACTGTATTATATAAGTTAAGATAAACAAAATTATTTGGATCAGATGCACACAAAAATATTAGAACCTAAAAAACAGTATTTCTAATCTGTTTGTTCAATACTTCAAAAGTTTCTTGACTTTTCTCAAATCACCATATCAATAGTCAACTCACTGAAAATGCTTTGAATCTATATATTATTCTTATATTCTAGTAAAACAAAAGAGATGACATAAATAGTGCATGATATTGGTGGTGATGACAAGGCTAAACTTTTCTATTCCCCCAATAAAATGTATTACATCAATATCCATGATTTTATACAGACATCTGAAATTTCTGAATAACATGCAGCCTTCTTGTCAATCAGGTCCTAACAATAACATGGAATTTCCCTATTTTAAAAAACAACAACTGCCAAGTACCTAGTAGTTCTAGACAAAATAATTTGATGGTATATATATATACCATGTATAGGCAAAAGAAAATCAATCATTGTTGACAAAGTTTAATGGATGTAATAAACACAACATCTGAAAAAGGTCTCAAAGTTAAAAAAAAAAAGGGATGGGGGGACATTTCCCCAAATGGACATAGCAATTTGTTTCTTATTGCTAACTTTCATCAAGTTCCCCTGTTGTCCCCCCCCCCCCCCCCCCCCCCCCCCCCCCATGTCCAATAAAACTGGTGAGTGTTGATGACTATAGTAGTCTGACAATGGGAATAATTCCTTGCACTAACACAATCAACAGAATTAAAGCAAAATAAGGCCGAATCCTTCACATAATTTCTTTTGATGTACATTCCCCCTTCCCAGTTCTGTTAAGGTCATTCCATTCTTTTGTCGTTTTCTAACAACTCTCACAGCAAACTATAGTCAATGTAACATTCACATTGCTATCATGCTGGTCATGTTCACAAGGCCAAGAGTGTTCTATCAATGTGAAAAAGGTACATAATTCTGGTACTGTGGTATACAAATACTACAATTCAATGACAAATGGTAAGCCAAAAATAGATTTAAAAAGAAAAGTAAATACTGCAGAAGACTGATCTCAATACAATTAAACAGGCATTAGCTTTGCACAGTTTAGCTGACAAAAGTTCTGAGAAGCATTACAAGGCAGAAGTTTCATTCATGAGCAATGTCAAGCTCATTCCCCCCATCCACTTCAAGGTCTCTATAATACAAAGATTCTTTTTGTTACTTATACTCAATTATTGTATTTACAGCTTAACATTTACAACTGCCTTTGTTTAGTTGATGGAAAGCAATGCAATGACTTACTAGCAGCTAATGATACATTCAAAGCAATTTGAATATGTACCTGTACCAATATGTAATGATAAAGTAAATCCAAAAGGAGCATGACAAAGCCATGAAAAACAACACCATAAACCAATAAGGATTAAGTTAGGTAAAAAAAACACTATGTAGTAATGTATATTTTTTTGATTAACAAAATGATTATGACTAAAAAGAACAGCTAGATCTTCACTTAAAGAGAACAAAAAAAAAATATTTAAAAATGTTTATGACAGATTTTTTACCATATTTTTATTTATAAATTATATAAGTCTGACTTTTTTAAAAAGGCCAAAAACTATCCAGCATTCTTTCTTTTCACCGCTGACTTGACCTTACCAGAATTATTGTTAATTTTTTTCTCATTCAAATGTACTGGTATACCAATATGAATTTTTGGGTCAAATCTGCTAAATTTTGATTAGAGCTTAACCATTAGGTTGAAAGGCCAAAAGATTCTATTCAAGGTTGTCAGTAGGATAAAAGATTTACTACTATGGAGGTTTAGCAAAGTAAGACTTCACCTATTGCTGGGAACACTGCTTAGGAGAGAACGTGTGAAAATCACAAAGTAGAGCTGCCCTTAACTGTTTCTTCCTTTACAAGCCTGTTTATACTCTAGAATCGCTATTCTCTGGACAAAGGTTTAAACCCAAGATCTTCATATCAATATTTATATCACTACCACTATAGAGACTTGTGACTAAAAGCTAACATGTTATAAAAAAAACTATTACAATATTTTTTTTGTATATTGAGGGTTGATTAGTATAGTACTAAAGCAAAATCCTACAGTGAATTTATTTTACAAATATACATGTATTTTTTATGATTTTCAAAGTAATGCTTCAAGTCCTGACCTTACCATTAAAGTTGTGTGTAACAATATAGCATTACAGTTTCATTTTAAATTAAAACTGTATTGTTGTTTTTTTTTGTTTGTTTTTCTTGGCCTTGTTATATCAATATCACAAATTAATAATCTGAACCATCAGACTTTGATTCTTGCTGGTTTATCCAGAAAAAAATAAGTTGAATTTCAATGTCAACTGTCTCCTTTCTTTGATTGGCAGAGAGAAAGTATTTGTTGAAAAATTGAGCTCACTTGTTTGTTTGTTTACAAAAATATACAAACTTCTGAAAAAAAGAATATTGTAAAAAATTTTGAAATAATTTCAAAGCAACATAACATAGAACTTATTCAACAAAAGATCAAATGATTCTTAACAACTTTGATCAAAGATACAATGATATAAAAAAATATTCCAGACTTTTAAAAATAATAATAATAAGGCTTGTCTTCAAGTCAGAAGATAAATGAGGGATGCAGTATTTCCTGTGGCTACACAGCCCCAGCTGTGACCTACATATTTTGCCACCACCAGGTCAACTATTAAAAGGTGATCCCTTTTATGAAAAGGTATGGCGAAGGCCAGGACATAAGGAAAAAAAGTCTATAAAATATAAGACAAGGTTAGACTATATACTAAAAAAACAACAAGGTTACAAAGACAGTTTGTGTGGAAACACAAACTCAAAATCGGCCCCCAAAGTGGTCCACCCAGGCAGGTTTCAATATTTTCAGAAAGAATATCAGAATGAAATTCTATCAAAGGCAAATGACAGAGAGGAATGGAGAAAGTAGATTGACAGATCCTGTGTGGTGCCCCAACTGTCCAGCAGACGAAGGGATAGGTAAAAGTGAATGTGAAGTTAGATGTGTACCTGGCCTAACTGATGTCTTATAATGATTATCTAATTGATCTAAATGTTTTGTAAAGGGTCAATCTCTTATTCAAAGCCTTAAAAAAAAAAAATTGGCGTAAAAAAAAATAATTCCTTTAGTTAAGAGTTCCATAGCCATGTTGTTTCACTGCAGTTTACGCTCGCAATAATATGAAAAACTACTTATTAATTGTTGTTTTAAATTATATTCCATTTATATGCATACTACCTCTTTAAAAAAAAGTTAAGATTTATTTTTGTAAATGTATTAGTTGTATGACAGAACTTACTTAACTTAGTAATACATTTATTGAAAAAAAAATTTTTTTGAGAAAAATCTAAAACAGATTGCATTAATATTTTTAAAATATGGTAACTAGCCATCTCCCTTACTAAATGGCCTCCAGTGTTTGTTACTATTACCGCTAATAGTGAATAGTTGTAAATATGGTCTATTTTTATGAAAAAACTGCTTGCATACTTGATTTTAAAAATTAGATTTTTCACTTTCAGAAAAAAAAAAAGTAGCCGTTGCATCAGAACTTTGAATGGTCTAAAATATTATTATGTTGAATATTCACTATCTTTTCTAGTTTACGGGACGGATGGACGAACAAACCACACAAAACTAACAGTGTCTTTTCCCCTTTCGAGGGCCACTAAAAAGTAAAGGTCCTGAGTCAACCTCTATTGACCAAGATTTGACTCAGGGTCTCTGCCTTCCCATTTTGCAGGGATGAAGAAAAAAACAGTTTGATGTTCTGTGCC